TGACGTGTTCAATACTTATTTTACCCGCTGTATATATATAAAAAAATTAATTTTTTTCCCATGACCAAGTTCTATTCATTTACACAAAGGGGCTGAAACTTGAATTGTGGACATTTGTCCTCTTTCAGGTACTACTTCCAGGATTTTGTACTGGGTCCAATATTTTAAAAGACAGTTWATGGGAGTTACAAAATAGCACTTGCATGAATCACTATGAATTTGTGAAAACAGCAGCATTCCACTTTGGTCTTAGCCWTTAACTCATCAATCCGGTCAGAATTAAACCCTACTTCTCCAAACTGACGTTCAAAGAGCTATGTGCAACAGGTAAGATAATAACTGTTCRTACCTTTTCCACAGAACYCAACTTCAAAACAAATCTGACCTTTTCTTTTAAGGTTATATGTGARTTTGTACTGTTTTGTTCAAATTGCTTTGAATACCTGTTTTCTGTAGCAGCTTGGTCCATGCAGTTCAGAGAGTTCTCCAGTGATTGACAGGTGTGAGGTGGGGTACAGTCTGGACACTAAAACCAGTTCAGCTCAGAGGCAATACAAAGATAAACAATCATGCATACTCACACTTTGGGTCGGTTTAAAATGTCAGTTAAACTAAAGTGTGTGTTTTTGGACTGTGGAAGGAGTCCTACCACCCACCGCTACTCTGCTAGGCCACACCCCCAATGGGATTTATAAATGAAACACTTTTAATCCTGTTTTTTCATTTGGTGATTTTGTTCAGATGTTTGTGTTATTTGTTTTTTAACCCTCTGAATTATGCTTTCAAGTAAAGCATTAAACTGTCGCTTGTTGCAGCATCACTTTGCAGCAATGTTCAAAGCAGCTCTGCATCAATATGCATATCTTTGTATAAAAAAAGTGTGGGGGGGATATATGCCGTCGTTTTACAAATACCTGTTTTTTTTGGTATATATTGTGAAGTATACAATGCAAATGTTGAAGTGGAAAAATATGATTTATTTGTATAAAAATGGTGTTATATAATAATCTGAGTGAAGTTTCATTTTAATCTTTGCTGTATTTGAACATTATGTTACTCGTGGAGTTTTTATGTAGTTTTACTCTTGCATTCATTGAACAAAATCCACCCCCATCAGCATGGCATTCAACAATGAACATGTTCAATGAAAAATAAATCATCCATGGGATTTTTACATTTCGGTCACACAGTTCTGAAGTGCCAAATTGCTTTCTTGCGGTTGAATGCAGTCTGATTTGCATTTTATGATGAATGTGCCTGAAATTAAACTGTACTCCTCTTTCTTTATACTATCACAGTACTGTATGGACATATCTTGTATTTTTATTACTCCTTTTTTACATGCTGAACTCTTCCATTATTTTTAAACAGCTTAGTCATGATCCAGAAACACAAGAATATAGTGTTTGTGACATTTTTATTCAAGCATTTTCTGACATTTTACTCTGTGTATGCTGCTGTATAATATATTGATGGGGAGATTTGACCTGYTTGCGTCTTCATCTGAAGGAGAAACACTGGATTTTATTGCATTTACTGTTCTAGCAGAAATACTTGTTTTTTTAATAACAGACCTAAAGGCATTATTTGTTTCACTCTTCTGTTTTTCACATATTTCTTCACCCATCATGCAGCATTAAAGCACACATTTTCAGTAAACACTGTTCAGTTTTTCTGTTTCCTCACACTTTATGTTATTAATAATAGATTGTATTTTTATCCCATAGTGCATTGTAAATGTCTGTATATAGAAGCATATAAAAACAAAGTCTTTAAAGGTTTGCATAATAGATATTAACAATATAAAGCTGTAATACGGATTTGTTCTTAGATGTTTTTTTATCAGATGTTGCATTATTTATAGTCCATGGTGGCCATCTTGAAAAGTGCCAACTACCAAAATTAATCAGTTACAGATGCACATTCATTCATTCATTTCTGAAAGTTTCATTAATGTCTGTGCAGTGATTCATTGGATATTTTGCTAACAGATAGGACTTTTACTGAGAGTTAATACCAAAATTTTCAGCAAAGATCAAAGTACAAGGAGTGGAGCCTGAAGTATATTTTGTAAATGATCCTTAACTACAACTGCACCACATTTTTATGGAGAGCCGTTTTATTC